AGGTCTTTTCCAACCTAAACGATTCTATGATTCTATCTAGTGGAAAACCTTTACTCATAAATGACATTTAAAAAGTAGCACAGATGCATTGCCTGCTGATGTTCAGCACCTTGACTGATCACAATTTATAGGTTATAGTGAGGAGTAAAACTGCATCTTACTGTAGTTACATTATAACAGCTTTGGACCAACTCTTTTCTACCAGACTCAGTAACAAAACTCCTGAGACTTAGTGTTCTGCAGCTGTTCTAGTGATGGTTCTTTTATTGTTCTCATCCTTTTTTAATTTCTGTTTTCATGTATGTTGTATAATGTGCATAATGTAGTAGTACAGTGGGACATGTATATTATTTATAAATAAATATGCACATATTGGAGGTGCATGCTCAAAAACTTCTTCACTTTTTGCGCTGTCAAAAAAGGTTAGAGACCACTGCTCTAAGACAGCTCTAGTGAGTCTGGGAGCATTCTAAGGCCCTTCAAATGTTTCTATCATTTTGTAATAAAAACACTGCTCTGCTTTTCTGTTCCTCCTGTTAGTGGAAGGGAGGGAAGAGAGAGAGAGAGAGATGGAAAGGAGGAGCGAAGGAAGGAAATGAGAATCAAAGAAATAATTTCTTGTTCAGCTAACTCTTACGGTACTTCAACAGGGAAGTAGTGCTTGGGGTGCTTGAAAAGTGTCACTCATGTAGGAGATCTCTGCAATGGTTTAGAGGAAATGTAAAGCTTACTGGGTTTTTAATTACTTTTACTATGGTGTGTGTGTGTTCTGTCAAAGCAGGAAGCCATGAAAGCATTAGTTGAGGTTGGAAATAGCAATTATAAGATCTTGTGAGACCATACTATCAAAGTTGAGTTGCCATGAGGAAGTAGTTTATTGGTCTTTGCAGAAACTGGTCATGTGCAACAAATTCTGTGGTTGGTTTGGGTACTTGACATTTATTTTAGGCTGCTGGTAGCTAACGGTTGTTTGTCTTCTGTCCAGGCCTGTCCTTTCTTTGTCTGTCATTCCAGGTCACCTTAAGAAAAAGGGGTTCTGTGGTTTACAGCTCCTTATGAGCTGCAACATGTTATAGGATTCTCTCAGGATATAAATGTCTCCATTTCTACAGTTGCATTCTTTGTTCCAGTTGTCTGTCCTGTGATAGCAAAACATGGATAACCTCCCAGCCCTACCCTGTGTTATGGGAATTCAGAACAGAAGGATTGCCCATGTTGATTAGCTTGGAATTTGCTTCTGTTTCCCTCATGATTTTGTTTCTGATCACAAGAACAATTATTGAGGGGGAAGAAAATTTAAGATACACCTTAAAATTTTTTTGTTTGTTTGTTTGCAAATGAGCTGCTATAATCCTTGAGGTGTGAAACTGTAGTTGGGAATACATGGAAGCAAAAGAATTAAAATACCACTTTTCTTACATGCATCTCATTCAGTGATCCTTTCTGTCCCATCTCTAATGTCACAAAGGCCCTTGGCTTAAAGAAGGTGTATATGGAATCAGCCTTCCCAGCTAGGTAGGTAGATTGCACTCTGTGCTACAGAGTGCACTCAACTGCTACAGCCAGTTGAGCCGTTTTGAGGATGTGTGTGCGCACCCAATGTATCTGGCACATTGGGAAGCACTGGATTTACACCGTGTGTACAGCAAGACTTTTGTGCAAGGACAGACCGTGCCTCCTGCAGGTGCCCATGGCTACAATGGATGCCAGGGTTCCCTGGGGAGATGACAGCCAGGACCGGCCTGCAGTGAATTTGTCCTTGCAAGCTGTGTTTTTATCTGAACTTTTTAATATTGACCAATTCCTAAACTGTGTTTTGATTCATTTGCTGTGAGAGGCAAGAAGACAGTGGCGGGAGGAGGTGGAGAAGAATTGTGTAGAAACTAAAATAGGCTTTGGTGAAAGCAGTGTTCCAAGTACAAAAATAGAAGGGAAAAAAAGGGGCAAGAACTGTGTTGCCCAGACTGGGCCTAACCAGCAGCAATGTGTCAGGACCCACTGATCTGGACCCTGAGATCCTCACCTGTATGGGAGGTGGCCTTGTAGCCAGGTTTTTCTGGGAGGGTCAGGATCGTGTATGCTTCACGACATGTTTTCAACAATGCAGTGTGAGGGCGGGGGGTGAAACAAGCTGGACAACAAAGAATAATAGCCGCATGCCTTTGTTTTCTCTACATGTCATGAACTAGACTCCTGGATGTTTCAGCAGGTGTTGGGTCAGGGCCTTGGAGGGACTTGGTGCTTCATGACTGCCTCTGCTGCATCTGAATTTTCTTTTAAGGGCTCATTGTCATTCAAATCAAGAGTTTTTTCAACTGCTTGCTTTTGATATTACTGCCGTCACTTCTTAAGGGTGTGAGCAATGCGGAAAAATGAGCAACTCAAACCAGTCAGTTAACCTCATAGTGTGATGTCCGGGAGTCTTTTTCCTTATGTCCTGCTTAATACTGTAGCAAGTGCTCGTTAGGCAGAATAAAACAGGGACAAGCCATATTGTTCAATACATTGAATGCTGGGAGGAAGGGAGACTGGTAAATATTTTGATAATGCAAAAGGTTTCCTTTTCCGCTTTTGGAAGAAACATCCCATTTCCCCATGAATAAACTGTGAAATTCATATATGACTCTGTTTTCCCTCCCTGAATCTCACTTGTCCCTCTGGATGATGAGCTCTTTGGGCCTGTGGTTGTTGCAGGATGTGGTCTGTGGGTTGTAGCCCAGAGCAACAAATACCAGTCACAGCTGGAGGGTCCCAAGAGCTGTGCAGGTAACAATATCCTGTAGTACTCAGTGCTTCATTTACTGACAGTGGCAGCGATATGAATGCCAGTTCAGTAACTGGACGAAGACAGCGTGGCTGACCCCACAGCGATGCGGAACACCTGATGAATGACTGCTTCCAGCTATGGCTGTCCACGGCTGTATTGCAGTCTATGAACACTTGGTGGGAGACTCCAAAACACTAAGAATTCCCAGAGCATCTCCAGTTTTTAGTCTTCCAGTAGCACTTGCTGTTACCAGGAGGGATGGAGACCATTTCCCTGGCACAGACTTGAGAAGCAGCCGTACAGGGCAGGTGGTTGTGATCCTGTGTATCAGTGGTGCTTCTCCACCTCTCTTCTAAGAGTAGAGAAGTCAAATCTCCGGTCTGTCCAGGACAGCAAACATTTTGTGCTCTTTTCTTTTGTCTTTGTGCATGGTCGGAGCATAAGCTGAAGTCCTTTCCTTAGTTTTCTTCCACAGATTTAGTCAGGCTTGTCACCCGTTTGTTACAAATCCTTTCAGTTTATTTTTTGAGTGTTTGGGCACAGGCTTCAAAATTAAAGGTAACTTGCTTTTTTATTGCTAGAATTGATCTGGAGTGGCATCAGCTTTCATTGTCAGTATGATAAATCTAATGAGAATTATGCTATGCAAGGCAAGTTTTTTATATAATTTTGTGGTTTACTTTTTTTTTATCCTCCTCCTGCCCCCTCTCTGGGATACAAAGCTTCACTGCTGAGAAGAGAAAGGGAGTAATCTACTATGTACTATTGTTTTGTGTGGTAGTGATTATCTGCGTTCACGTTCAATTATAAGTTGTGCTTCTGTCACCTTAGGTCTGCGAAGCAAAATAATGCCTTAGGCTGAAGTAGGTTATCACATGTGTATGAATTAAGATAGGATAATAGTCTTGAAGGTTGACCATATAGCTCTTCACTATTCATGTGTAGTTTATCTGGACTGCAGGTAAAGCACATCGCATATCAGGATGGTTCTGAGATGGCTCTGTGCAGACTCAGGCGGGGACAGGCAAGGCTTTCATGAACACCACAGGATGTGTGGTTGGAGGTCCCAGAAGGGCTGGTAAAGGCCATTACAGCCTATCGGTGCCCTCAGGGCTCTGGAGTTAGCATCTGTGGCCTTGTACTTCCCAAGATTCCAATGCAGAGCTTTGTTACCACAGCTCTATCTGCCCTTCTGACACTGGACAGCATTGCTTGCGCCATCCCAGTGCTTCTAACTTGTGGGAGGTAGCTGCCTTTCTTCACAGGGCAGGAGAGAACTTGGCATGAGAACTGCTGTTTTCATTCCTGTACAACTGATAGCACACAGAATAATGTCAGTTGAAAGGGACTGCTGGAAGTCAGATGGTCCAGTGCCTTGTTCAGAGCAGAGACAACTTAGAAAACCCATATAACTTCACACTTCGATCAGGTTGCTCCTGACACCTCCAACAGCGCTGACGTGGCACTGTAGCACTGTGCCTGGGCTCCATTCAACAAGATGGTGGCAGCAGTATCCAAGGAGGGTCTAAAACAAGATTGAGCCACCGAGCTTGGAACTCTTGTAGTTGTAAGATCCTGCCAGTATTTTATGAAAAGCTGGTCTTGTCTGAGCCCAAACGCAAACTGTTGACCTTGTTAATCCTGTCTTGGTCTTGTGATGGGAATGCTACCTGAGCAGAAGGTGCATGCTTCCCCCCTCTTCAAGTCAGGTAGGTGAGACTGTAAAGCAGCATCCTGAAAGATGCCTCCAAAACTTGTCTGTTAAGGGGGTGCATATATTGAATGTAGAGCAGACTTCTCAGTAAAAGGTAACTGCCAGAAATGGTAGGTTTGGGTCTGTGAAATATAGTGCAGCTTTCTTCCGTCCACCAAAGAACTGAAAAGACCTGAATTGTGCGTGTATGGAACAAATTACATAGGCAGGGTATAGGATCTTTTCATGCATATATACACAATGTTCATATACATAGGATAACACTTTTTACTCTACTCTGCAAATGTAAATACTTATATGAATTGTATAGTAGGTAGACATGTATGTCAATGGGTAGGTTAAAATCTGTATGTTATGTAAAATCTGCGTGGTGTATTTTGGCAAACAACTGGCTTCAAAAACACAGTAACTGCAAGCCACAACTTCAGAACAGTCTGTGCCTGTTCACCTGCTCTGTGTGTATGTGTGTATATTGGTAAAAATATATATGGTCATAGCTGAAAAAATGTGTTGCAGGTGTGCTACCTGTCTTCATTAAAAATTAAATGAAAAGTAATACCAAAGAGAAGGGATGAGAGCTAGGTAGAAGTCAAGCTCTAGTTTTTGTTGACTCAGGGCCCTTGTTGTTATGACCACTAGCAATAGGTAAATAGTAGGGAGGGGGAATGATCTTTCTAAAATTACTGCCAGATTGACATGCATGGGCCCCATGCCATTCTCTGGTGGATTGAAATTGATGGGCTCCACACTGTTCTTTGGTTGATTGACATGCCTGGGCCTCAGGCCATTCTTTGGCAGATAACACACCTGGGCCTCACACCATTCTTGAGCCTGTGGTATGTCTGTAGAGTTTGTCTTCTCCCAGCTAGTGTTGGGTGCAGAGGCTGGGCTGCTGGTAGGGAGCTGGCCGGGCGCTCCTGCAATGCCTTTGGCGCAATTTCACAGAAGAGAGCCCAGGCATGCTGGGGTAGTGCCAGGTCAGCCCTGTTGGACGTGGATCCACTTCCGTTGGTTCTTCATCTTGGGGTGGATCCACCTCCATGGTATCCATGCTGTTGTCTGGTGGATTGACGTGCCAGGGTCCCACGCCATGCTCTGTTGGATCAACATCCATGGGCTCTTGGGCACAAGGACCACCCTCCACCTCCCCTCATGTGCCCAGGGCTCAATGGTGTGGGCTCAAAGGCCTCAACAGTGCGGGCATGGCCCACAGCACACCCATCAGTGTCCTTCCTGGACTGAGAAGACCCTTCTTCCCCATACCCAGCCCTGCCCCCAGAGCATGGAGAGGTGCCATCTCTTCTGCACAAACAGGGGAGGAGGGAGCCCAGTGTCCTTTGGGCCGCTTTGGGTTCATATATCCAAGCTCCTGCTCAGAACAGCCGCACTTGGATCTGGTTTCTCAGGGCTTTGTTCAGTCATGTTTGGATACCCTCAAGGATGGTGGCTCCACAGTCCCTCTGGGCACCTGTGCTGTGTCTGAGCAGCCTCATGGTGACAGTCTTCTCCTTTTGTCTAGCTGGGATTTCTCCTGGGTCTAGCGCCACTCGTCCTTCTGCCACAGAGCACCTCTGAGAAAATTCAGTCTTCATCTTCTGTACAGCCTCCCAGCAGGCAGCTGACGTCACCAGTGAGGTCCAGCCCTGAGCCTTCGTTCTCCATGCAGAGCAGAGGCAGCTCCCTCAGCCCGCCTTCCTGTGCCCCAGCCCCTCGCCATCCCAAATGCCCTGCGCTGGGCCCACACAACACTCATCAATGTCTTTCCTGGACTGGGGAGACCAGGAGGGGACACGGAATTCCAGATGCAGTCACCAAAGGGCCAAATAAGAGAGGAGGAAGCATTTTTACTGGGTTTTTTTGTTTGTTTATTGTTTGGATTTTTTGTTGTTTATTGCCCACGCTTGAAAAGGACTCCAAATGAAGCAGCTAGAAGGGACCTTAAGGGTGAAATCCAGCACTTTGTTCTGTCAGAACTTCTCCAAATGTACTGTGTTTGCCTGGCAAGGTTTTGGTACCCAGAGGGCTGCAGGGGTTGCTTCTGATAGAAGATGCCAGAAGCTGTCCTATGTTGGACAGAGACAGTTCCAGACAGCTCCAAGACAGACCCGCCGCCGGCTAAATCTGAGCCCATCAGCAATGTTGGTAATTGTGATTAACATATTTAAGAAGGGATGAAAACTGCTGCGCAACAGCAGCTGAGAGAAAGGAGTGAGAATATGTGAGAGAAGCAACCCTGCGGACACCAAGGTCAGTGAAGAGGGAGGGGGTGTTTCAGGCGCCAGAGCAGAGATTCCCCTGCAGCTCATGGAGAAGACCATGGTGACTCAGGTTGTCCCCCTGCAGCCCATGGAGGTCCACGGTGGAGCAGATATCCACCTGCAGCCCGGGGAGAACCCCACGCTGGAGCAGGTGGATGTGCCTGAAGGAGGCTGTGAGCCTGTGGGAAGCCCACGCTGGAGCAGGCTCCTGACAGGACCTGTGGACCCATGGAGAGAGGAGCCCAGGCTGGAGCAGGTTTGCGGGCAGGACTTGTGACCCCATGGGGGACCCACGCTGGAGCAGTCTGCTCCTGAAGGGCTGCACCCCGTGGAAGGGACCCACGCTGGAGCAGTTTGTGAAGAACTGCAGCCCGTGGGAAGGACCCACGCTGGAGAAGTTCGTGGAGGACTGTCTGCCGTGGGAGGGACCCCGCGCTGGAGCAGGGGAAGAGTGTGAGGAGGAAGGAGCAGCAGAGACAACACATGATGAACTGATCTCAATCTCTGTTCCCCGACCCGCTGGGGTGCTCGGGTGGAGGAGGTAGAGAAATTGGGAATGGAGTTGAGCCTGGGAAGAAGGGAGGGGTGGGGGGGAAAGTGTTTTAAGATTTGTTCTTATTTCTCATTATCCTACTCTGATTTGATTGGTAATAAGTTAAATTAATTTCCCCGAGTATTTTTTTTTCCTGTGACACTAATTGCTGAGTGATATCCCTGTCCTTATCTTGACCCACGAGCCTGTCGCCGTGTTTACTCCCCCTGTCCAGTTGAGGAGGCGGAGTGATGGAGCAGCTTGGTGGGTACCAAGGTCAGACCACCACACCGAGCAAAAGCTGTCTCTCTAACTTCTTCGCTTGATCTGTTGCTATTCATTGTGCATCACTGTGGAGCATCTGGCTTCATCTTCAGTCACCCCTTGGGTAGGTTTCATGTCCTAAGACTGGAAAAACCCTAACTCCAGGCCCCAAGGACCTCGGTGGCCTTTTGAGAGTCTCCTCCTGTCACCCTGGTGCAGCAGCCCAATGGAAGCCAGGCGCTCTCCTTCCCTCTCCCGCTGGGTTCAGCCTGTAATTTGGGAGTGCTGTAATTGTCCGTGTTGATCTTGCAGAATCCTTACTTCAATAGTTTCTCCAGCCAGTTTAGGAATGCCTTTCTGTGTACCATCTCTCTCTCTCTCTCTCTCTCTGCAGTTCGGAGTCATTAGTAACCCTACGGAGGTGCATTGTGTCCCATCCCTCTGCTTCCTATTGAAAATACTAACCAGTATCACCCCTGGTGTTCATAAATCTTGAGTTGTATCTGAGCAATTTATCTAAAAGCGGTTTTTCTCTGCATCTACATTATCAAGAGGAACATAACTTTCTAGGATGGATCAAATGAACTTACATGAGCGTGAAGAACAATCTTCTCATTGTTTTAAGCTGTGAACTCTTGGGAGCTTACACTGTTTCTAAGTATATGCTTCTGTAGTCCCTGAGTTTCTACGTGACCCCAATTCTCATTTGTTTTTCTGTTACTACCATAATAATATTTAAAAGGTGATCTTCAGAAGAAAACAGGAAATGGATTTTTCTCCTTTGTTACTTTTTAAATTTATACGTGTAGAGAAGTCCCCAAACTGTGGTTTGGTGGGTAGGGTTTTTATTAACTTGTTTTTGGCAATTCATTCCTCCCATGTGTTACATACATTTTTATCCTCTCTGCTTTAGAAGGCCAGGTGGCTAATGGCAGACAGCTTGGTAGGATTCAGGTGCCTAAGAAATCAGACAGCAAGACGACAGTTGAAGGGATAATTGATTTTTGGTTTTAAAGGTGCCAGCTTTTGTTTAGCATACGTTCTTTTCTGAACCTGAGCATTTAGCACGGTTCTCTCTCCTGTACCTCCAGGTAAGGCTTGAGAAAGCATTTAAACAATATTTTTCAGAGAGCAAATAAAACTTCCAGTAAGAATGGGCTTTCTCTTACTGATAATTAAGTATATAAATAAGCATAAGGGAAAACAGTCTATTCAGGACGTTCTTCATGCATTTTAAACCAGCAAAGCAAACCAACCAAAAAGGGTCAAACACAGGGTTTTTTCCTTTTCAGGTCACCTTTGAGGGCTGTATAGATCAAGAGAAGGATTTTTTGTTCTTTTAGGAAGCAAGTAGAGAGGCAGTGGAATTTGCAAAGCTCAGATGTGAGATGGGTTTGTGTCAACCTGTGGTACTCCCCCTTTCAGTCTTCATTTGGCAGTCACTGTGGTCCTTATGTAGACTGCTCCAGTAGCTATAGTTTATCTGCTATATCTTGACACAAATA